ATCTCCTCAGAAGAAAATTAAAGTTGAAGGTTTCATTCAAGTGGCACCAAACTCTCTAGAAGTTAGAAAAAAAGTTTCCTACATAGAAGAATAAGAAAAACAAAAAAATATATAAATACATCATCATAAATTTAAGCAATACAATACTGCGGTTATCTCACTTAGTACTGTGGTTGTACTACCAAATTTAAACCAAGCATTACCAAAAATATACGTCGGTTAATAGAAGCACTCCACGGGGGAAACCTGCCACATTTGTGCTGCTATTAGATGGTTACGTGACACATGTTGATGAATAATGTTTACTTTTGTCTGCAAAATTGAATCCAGTAACTGCTTGTGTCAGAAATCTTCAATTGGAACCAATGGGAAAAAAAAAAGTATCATAAAATGAAAAAAGCAATGATTACATTTAATTTTTGGTTGGTTTCTCACAGTTTCAGAAGCACAGTCCACATCATGCTGTCAACAGCAAGCAATACCTTAACCTGAACAGGTTTAGTGTGCTACGGCAGTGAAAACAGCAAAATAATGAAAAACAAAGGAACATTTATTAAGTGCAAGCCCTGGTGAACAAAACACTTTGAATCTGTTTTTGAATGTACGCACAGATGTAATTAGTCTCATCTTCTATTGGCTTTATGGAAATCTTCATTACAGTAGATTTCTTCAGATTGTGTGCAGTTTTCATAGTCTGGTTCATCTTCACCTGCATCATGATAGTCGTTACAGGCACTCTTGGAGGTCTGCTTCTCTGAATACCTCACAACTTCATCGTTTCCATAAATCTATTCAGAAACCAATGGAAAACACATGATGGTGTTATGGAAACATTTTATAAAGCAAACATTAAAAAGCAACATTTTTTTCTGGCACCACTTTCAAACTAAGATTGTCTTATGATCTGATTTCACCACTAATGAGTAAAACCACATCTATCCAGACTCACAATATGAAGAATTATAGTAAGAGATGTGTATAAAATACATTATGTTTGACCAAAAATTACATTCTGATAGAACACTAAAGGCAAATAATGTTTCAAATATTGCTGCAGATAAATTCCATAGTTTACCGAAGTTTTAGGGTGAAAAGAAGTTAAAAAGTCTAAAACTGGATGCTTCCCACATGTTCTCAGCTCAACATCATAGAAAGTATAAAGCTGCAGCTCTCTTAAGTGTAGCCTGTGGACCAGAGTCTGCATCAAAAACATTTCATGCTACCCCCAAATACCTCAATGAGACAATCCACTACTATAAATTTTTTTAGTCGGCGGTTAATTTCACACTGTCGAACTGCAGAACCAGCAAAGGGACTACTTCTCTTTTTTTCTCTTATGTTTTCAAATCTTAACTGATTATTTCTTCCTTAAACCGTGCTTGTTGTTGTGATAACTAATTCAAATCAGTTGTAATCCCCACAATTTCAAGATGAGCATCAAGTTTTGTCATCAAATCACTGTCACACCTGTTGCAATTATGGTGATTTTAAATGTGATTACTTAATTATTTGATCCTATATTAGTGTTGAACATTATTAGTGTTTGAATTCTTGAGTTAAATGTAAACATGTTTTTTGTGGTCACACAGACATTTAAGTTTAATATTTTGATCAAATCCTAAATTATTGCTTATGTTCATCCTTAAGTTCAAACTCCTGTTTTGTAGAATCTTTCTCCAGGGATCTCAGTGATATCATGCTCAGAACAGTAAGGGTTATAAGGCATAGTTATCAATGCCTGCAAACCTCTTGCTCTCCAAGTGAAATTGCTTAAAAGAATTTGAATTGCAATTTTGGTGATCTGTGACCTTTACTAAACGCCAACACTGTCACATGACAAGACTGAAGCCGTGCTATAGGCTCCATGAAGCTGTGCATAGCAGTAGCAGTGCTTTCATCTAGTGTCAAACTGATGTTTGACATAATTCTGCTCTGTTAAATTATAAAAACTCATAAACGATGAAATGTTTATGATGTGGGACGCCTTGTAATTCCCTTACAGTTACAGTTATGTTGTTACTTGCATTACAAAGGTTCTTCAGTTATATGCTCTTCCTGCTCACTCGTGCTACAATCAGCTAATTTCAGTTCATATGCAGGAGGAGGAGGATATAGTAGGGCTGTACAGCTTTGGAGAAGTGGAGATTCTAACATTACTTTTATTTTTATTGGAAAAAAACAAACAAAAACGAGAGTGTGAACCAATGTCCAAAGAAAAACTTTGAATGACCTTCAGAAAGCCTTGAGAACTTTTTAAAAATTACATGAAAGTCTTTTGCAAAGTACTGTATTGAACACAGCTAAGAATAAAATCAGTTAGTTGTGGTATAGTGAGACTTGTTGTCTGCTGTTGTCTTACGCCATTTTCTGCTGCACCCATTACTTCCTCTAAACCTCCTGTCTTTGATGTATTTCTGTTCACGACAGCTTCATTACCTGAACACACACAGCATAAAACGTGGTTATGCTCTTTTCGCATGTGCATTTCATGAAATTTGTGCATGTCTATGAATCCAGAATATACCTTTTATTTTCTGACGTTTGCACTTATAAACTATAAGCACAAGGACACATATAAGTACCAGCAGCACGGCGGGCACAGCGTAAACCACATATTGTCCTGCATCTGAAAAACAGAAACCAAAACAGAAACAGTAAAAAAAAAACATCCTCAAACATTATCCTTTGTGATAATGTTTCTTTTTATTGATATTTACTGTTGGCCACGGGTGCACACACTCTGTTTTGCCATGAAACTATAACTAGTTCCAAAAAGTATCCATAGCTTATGGAGAGGTAAAATATTTGATCTCACAACATTGATCAACAGCACTATAGACTAAAAGATGCATACTGTATATACCGTACCCTTCATAAGTTTACCTGAAATTTGTGCTGGTGTTTCCACTGTGGAAGCTCCATTGCCAGTGTGCTGCTGAAAGACTGTTGGAGAAACAAGGCTCTTAGCAACTTTTTTTTTAAAAATAAAGGAAGGAGTAGAACTCTAGCAGTCAGTTAAGTCTTTCTGAAAGTATTCACTGAGCTAAAGTTAGACTTTAACTAATTTAAACAGTAAAACACCCTGTTATAGGTGCATGTTTTTCTCATTCGAGAATTGAATGAATTGAATCATCATTGAATCATCATATATATATTTTCATTTTCGGTAATATTTCATTAGAAAATAGAATAATTAGTTAGAATAATATTATGTTTATGTATAATAATAATGTTTTAGCTTTTAGTTTTTTAAGCCACCAAAAAAGTGTAAGTAAGCAGCGGTAAATGAGCTTTTCCGTAGTCCTAGTTTTACACGAG